TCGGTTGCTCCCTCTACACCTGTTTCTGTTTCCGTAGATACCTGCTGCTGTTTTTGCACTGACGTATAGCCGAAGTTGTTCCTGTGTGCGGCCCGCTGCTGCTCAGCAGCAGCAACAGCAGTTGCCTGAGCAGCAGCAGTTGCTGCTGCTAGTGCTTGCTCGTGTTTCTCCGCTTGCGTGCAAGCAACCTGGAAGGCAGCCCTGCCCTCAGCGTTCTCCAACCCCCAAACATCCTGTCTCACTTTCGCTGCCACTGCCTCCTCTGCCATGCTCACTGTCTTGCTTGCTGCAACAAGTGCTGCTTCTGTCTGTTCCTCCATGACGAATGAATTGAGGGCCCCAGAAAGCCGCGCATACGCGTACACAGCCTTGTTGGCTTCCCGCCGTACTGCTGCCTCACGCTGCTCCTGCTGCTGCAGCCGCCGCCTCTGCTGCTCCCTATAATCTGCACCAAAGGTAATCCCAGCGTCTGCTCCCATTGCCGATGCATCCTCTTCTGCACGGATCGCCTCTTCCGTTTCTGCAAACTCAGCCGCCTCCTCTGCATGTTTGAAGCTGAGCTCCCCCGACACCCGCCGCGCGATTGCTGCTGCCGTCTTCGCCAGAGGCAGCAGCTTGCTGAGCATTGCTTCCGTGTGTCCCGTTGCAGCAGCAGCGGGCGGCTCCGGCATCTGCAGGAGCACCCTCAGACTACCAATAGCTTCCATGGCAGCTTGAATCCGATCCAAGTCGTTCCTCATCTGCTCGTACACCCTAGCCTGTCTCTCGCCTGCTTCCAATAGTCCATAGAGAGACAAATGACCTGCGGATACACCCCGTGCTGCTGCTCCCAGAGCCAAAAGACCCTCGCCCACGCGGTCTGCGCTTACATAAAACTGCTGCAGCAGCGAAACCAGCTGTTCCTGTCGCTTCTGAAGAGGATCCGTTTCAAGATACTCGACATCTGGCTTCTGTTTTGCCTTCCCATCCTGCTGCGGAAAGCCGTGCTGCTGCCGCTCTTGCCACCCGCTGCTCCAGACTTTCCACTCGAGGTCTGCAAGGCGCAATCTTTCCGTCTCTGTGATAGCATAGCAGGAAGCAGCAGCTAACCAGTACGAACTGGAAGAAAGATATATGCCCGCCCGCATAATTCCGTCGATTTCACTAGTCCATACTTCTGTGGCGTGCTTGTATTTGCTTTCGATTTCCCCATAAGACTTCTGAGTTGCTGCTAGCGCCCTCGTTGTGGCAGTCACTGCCCAGAGCGGCCGCTGCAGCTGGCTCAGCATCTTCTGCACCTGCTCCTCCAGCTCACGCTGCAGCTCCTCCGGGTCTTGCGTCCCCAGTTTTCCCTGCCGCTGCTGTTTCCCGTGTTCTTGCTGATGCTGCCCCCGCGGATCCTGCTGCAACGACTCCTGCGGCCGCTCTTTCTGCTGCATAGAAAGCTTGACCCTCCACTCTGCTGCTGACAGCACCGCAACTCCCTGCATCCGGGATAGGTCTTCGGTTGCTGCTTGCTGCATTTCCCTAACGCCGTTCAGGTGTACAGACAGTATCAGGTCAGGCACGGGAGAGGAGACGAATGCCTTGCTGTATAAGGCGGCGAAACGCTGCCCCGCTTGCTGCAGCAGCTGCTGCTCGGAATGCAGCTGCAGCACCAACTCTTCTGCTGCCTGCTGCTGACCCTCTATAGTCTCAGCAGCCATTGTATGCAGCCACTGCGCCTCCGCGAGCGCCGCGTTTACCTGACCTTCCAGTCGTTGTATTGTTGGCACAAGGCCTGCCGTTGCTGCAGCTGCTGCTGGTTTGCCCGATGCTCCGGCCAGCGGCTCTGCAGCAGCAGCAGCAACCTCCTGCTGCAGCTGCTGCAGCTTCTGCAGCTCCGCCATAGCAGCAAAAACAGCAGCACGCAGCCGCAAGAAGCGTACAAACGTAGAACTGCCCCCCAAGGTCTTCGCCAGCGCCTCAGTCTCATCCAGCAATGCTTGTAGTGTGTCTTGCTGCAGCGACGGCTTAAATGCCGCTGGCATTTCTGCTGCATTCGGCTGCCATAGCGACCCGTCTGCTGCTAACACTGACGCTGCTGCTTTCCCTGCTGACTCCCCTGCAGCTGTTGCTTCTCCTGCTGCGGCTGCTTCTGCTGATGTTTTTCCTTCCAGCTCTTCCGCTAGCTGCCCCGCCGCTGGCGCAGCTAGTGGTTCTGACTTTTGCCCTGCAGTGGCAGGTCCTGGTGCTGCTGCCGGCATCGCTTGTCTCTTCGCTGCTGCTTCGGCAGCGGCTGCACTCGCTGCCATTTCCGCGGCTTTGGCTGCTGGGATTTCCGCATCTCTCTCTGCTGCTGCTCCCCTCTGCCTGTTCAAGGGCAGCGGCACCCGTAGCAGCAGCAAAGCAGCTAAAGCGGACAACAGCAGGAATCCCTTTGTCAGGCGAGAATGGGGAAACAGGGCTGATCGCTTTGCTCCTACAGGGGGGCTCTCTGCTGCTGCTGCTGCTGCTCCTGTTGCTTTTGATGAGTCCCATGTCTCCGTCCAAGCAATATCAGCGTCCTTGGGCAGGGGCCCCCAGCCGCGCGGGGCCCCGTAGCCACTCTTAGCTGGCCCCCGTGAGTTGGGTCTGAAGGGGCCCCTCAGGGGGCCCCTAATAGGGCCCCTCAGGGGCCCCTGAAAATGCAAAAGGTAGGGAGAAATCCCTCTGGGGCTCAGATATGGGCTGCTTGGAGGAGTGGCAGTGGTGATTGCGTCTCCAGCAGCCGTGGGAGCAGCAGCAGCAGCAGAAGCACTAGTGGTCGTGGCGGATATGGCCCCGTTCTCGCCTGCTGCTGCTGAGCCCAGAATCAAGAAACACACTGGTAGACAAAGAACAAAGAACATAAAACGATAGCGAAACATGCTGCAGCAACTGCCGTTGCTGCCATTGCTGCTACTGCTGCTGCTGCTGCTGCTGCTTCTGCTACGGCTGCCGCCGTCAAGGGCAGCCAGGACCCGCCCACAGCTCCGGGAAGGCTTCATTGGGGTGGCGCTTCTATGAGCCCTGACTCCGCTCTTCTTCTTCCTAAACTCTAAATCGTAAACCCTAGTTTTAGGCTTACAAACCCTCAGCAGCGCGGCTTAAGTAAGCCAGAGACGAAAACGGCCACTCATCTCCCTAGCCTCAGGGGGGCAGCTGAGCAGCAAAAAACCTTCCACAAATTTTGGAAAGTATAAGGCATAAGCCCTTAAAACTAAATCGGAAGTCGCGAGTCTCGGCCCCGCTTCTGAAATCGATACGTCAAGGCCTAGACCCAAAAGCCTACGCCGCAAGCTCTAAACTCTATCCCGCAGAGCTGAGAAGCGAAGAGAACCTCTGGAATGGCGACTGACGTCATTTATATTAACAATTTCAAACATAAAAAAGCGCCGCCAAAGAAATTAATTCAAAAAGACACAGTTGGGCGAACGCGGCTGCTGGAATCGTGCTGGCAGAAGGGGGAAGGATGCCCGGGACAACTTCTGCTTATTTGCGGGCAATCCATCCGTTTAAATTAATCACCTTTACCATTTATAAATTAAGCGCAAGAAAACGGAGAAGCTGCTGCCCTTGCTTTCGAAATGCACAGGGAAGCTGCTGGCAGCCAACGGCCCAGTACAGTATCGACATGCTTGTGCGCCCATGCTTCTCCTGCCTTCTTAGCCCACGCTGGGTCGAACAGTCCTTAGAAGTTACTGACATACTGCATTATCATATTTAATCAATTTATTTAATGCAAATATCGATCAAATCAGCCCCATGTAGAAGTCCCAAAGTCCTGGCCAGCCCACAATGTGGGAGACCAGTGCCAATGTCTTGTTTGGTGGATTCCGCAGACTGGGAACCTAGCTTCCATAATTGCTGCTCTCCTTTTCAGTATTTTCATCTAGAGTTACGGTGCACCATAGATCCTCACTTGCAAGGAACCCACGGAGCTCAGAAGACACTGCTTCGTGCAGCCGTGCCTCACGAGTCGCTGGCCCTCAGTGAGCCTTTCAGAATTCATGTAGAAGCTAAGACATTAAATCAGACCTACATATAGTGTTCTGTGATCAGTGTCTCGCCCTGCATCGCAAGAGGGGCCTGGAGTCTCAGCGCCGCTCCAGGGGCCCCGCCGTCGCTAGCTGCAGCGCCAGTGGCTAGCTAGGAGGCCATATTCGGCTCTGGCTAGCCACTGCTAGCCAAGCCTACGGCAGTGCTCGCTCTGCGCATTCCGACTGCATGCAAGGCAGCAGCCCTGCTACCCGTACTGCTGCCGGTGCCGGGTCCACCGCCACTGCTGCCGACAAGGCGGCCCGTGTTGCTGCGGCTCCTGTTGTTACTGTTGCTGCTGCTGCTGCTGCTGTTGCAGCTGGGGCTGCTGTTGCTTCTGCTGCTGCACTTCAGGCGTACATATACCGACCGTCTTTTACTAAAGGCTACACCCTGAGCCCTACTTTCCATCCAAGAGGCAGTGTTCCAAAGAAGACCACCTGCTATCTGTGCATGCTCTCTGTTCCTCCTTAGCTAGGGTTTAGGGTTTAGTGTTTGGCTTCAACCATCGTTGAAGTCAAGCGCTGGGCTGTGCTCCAAGCCCTCACTTGCAAAACCACCGCACACTGCGCAGCTGACTGGCGGCTGGCCTTGGCTAGCTAGCTATGGCTAGCCAGCCGCATTTGGCTAAAGCCTGAACCCCCGATCTCAGGAGCAGAGTCACATGCAGCTATTTGGTCTGCAGCAGCAGCAACTAGCAGCTAAGGTTAGGGCCCAGAGTTTGGGCCCTGTGGCTCCGACAAAAGGGGGAAAACAGACACGGTGTTTTTGTATATCCTGAGAAATGCAATAAGCCAAAACTCTAGACTGCAAGCCCTAAAGACTAAACCCTAAACCACCGGAGCGCCAGTCAGAAGCCCATCGCAAACAGAGGAACATTTGAAACACCGCCTGTGATGCCACGAAATAGGGTGTAGGGTTTAAGGCCTACGGTTTAGGGCTTACTGACTGGGGTTTAGGGTTTAGGGCCTAGGGTTTAGAGCTTACTGCTCGGCGAAATCCTTCTCTGAGAGGTTGGGGGATACAAGTTGACGGACAACCTCCCCAACAACGCTGCAAGCAAACCCTTAACTCTACACTCTTCACCATTAACCCAGTACCTAAACCCTAATTCCTAAACCCTAAACCCTGGCAGCTGCAACCAACCAGCCTATCCCTTAAATGCAGCGCCTCAAGCGCTGCACCCTTGGTCCTGAACTCTAGACCCTAAGCCCTCCACCAGAAACCCTAAACCCTAAATCCTAAATCCGAAACCGTAAGTCCCATCACTTTAAGCCTTTCTCACCTTATGTTGCACGGTTCATTGCGCCCCTTTACTTGATCGTTTGCCGTCCATTTTTCAGGCTTAACTCCATTGAGCGCCGATTTCTGAACAGCAAACCCTAAACCCTAAATCCTCAGTATTTGCACCAAAGGGGATCCATCAAACCCCAACGCCAAACCCTTAAACCCAAACCCTTAGCCCTGAACTTACTTGCTCATCACTGAGCAGAGCAAATCCCGCATGCGTTGGCCTCAGTCCGCACCAAGGAGCATCTGCAGCGCATAAACCCCAAACCTCATATCCCAACTCCTCAGAGACCCTAAACCCTTGAGGCATAGTCGTGTTGAATGAGAACACGACCCAGGGTTGAGGGTTTAGGGTCTAGCTTGCCCGTTTCCAAGAGGATGCGAGACAAGGGCAGCTGCCGGACAAATTCCAGGTTTTCTCTCGTCTTCAGTGAACAGCCGTTAATCCCTGAGCGCATGCCAAACCCCAAACCCTAAACGCTAAACCCTAAAGCCTAACTGTTGCACGCTCCGCGTACGCTGGCGTAGTTTCTCACTGAGAAAGCCTCGAGCAGCTCACAATCTGGGCTCTGGAGAAACAGCCGGGGATCTAGGGTTTGAGATGTAGGGTTTAGGCTTTGTACCTATGTACAAGCCCTCATTTAGCAACTCTTTCGCCTCTTCGGCGGTTCCCGTAAACGAGTGCACAACTCCTCCCCTCCCAGCCCACAAACCCTTGCGTCGCCGCAGGATTTCTGCACCAGCAAAACAAAGCCTAAACCCTAAAACCCAAAGCCCACGACCCAGTTTGACCAGCCTGATACCCTTGCCACGCTGCAACCCCATCCTAGGGTTAAGGGTCTAGGGTTTACCAGTGAAGTCCGCAGCTGCATTTCTCATGTGCAGAAACAGCGGCAGCTGCAAGGAGTAGCCCAAAGCCAACTGCAGCTCAAAGCACCTAAGCTCACGCCCACCGGACGCAAACCCTAAACCCTAAACCCTAAAACCCCAAGCAGCTCGAAACTGACGCCTTGAGTTAATCTCGGTTTAGGGTTTGCCTACTGCTTTTGTGTTGCTGCATCGCAAAAACGGAGCCTGTCATAGTCCAGGCCAATCTCCCCTACAGCGACGACCCGCCTTCGCTGCTGCTGCTGCTGCTGTTGCTGCTGTTGCTGCTGCTGCTGCAGCTGGTGCAGCTCAAAAAGACGCTCCACATATACTTTCGGGTAGTCACCCAGCCGCAGGCCCCCCTCCTCCACCTTTGATGCAAAGGACTCGAATTCCTTGCTGCTGCTGCTGCTGCTGCAAGTTCCTGCAGCAGCGAACTCCTCGCAGCGAGTCGGGTGGATCCCTACAGTCAAGAAGAGGCGTCTGCATTCAGAATCTGCGCGCAAACCCCAAACCCTAAACCCTAGATCGCAAGCCCTCAGCCAATCAACCTGAGGTTGAACAGGCAAAACCTAAACACTAAACCCTAATTTGGCGTTTCTGGACCTTGCTGGGGAACCGCTTTGCCATTAAAGCGCCCGGAGCCTAGGTGTGTCAGTGCGTGGCTAGGGTCCAGGCACTCTAATGTTTAGGGTTTAGGGTTTAAGGTTTGTGCCACCGTATGTCTGCGCGATTTGGAGGTTTGTGTGGAAGTCCTCAAACGCCCCTGTTGTCAGCATAATTTTGCTGACTCCCGATGCTGCTGCCCTCTCCAAAACCCTACACAGAAACCCAAGAACCTAAACCCTAAACCCTAAACCCTCGATGTCTTAGCAGCTCACCAACATTAGGCAGCAGAGATAGCAGCCTGCCTGCTTGACGGTCTAGAGCCTACTGGGTTCCCATGTATAGTGGGGTTTGGAATCGATTAGGGTTTAGGGTTTACTAGGGTTTAGGGTTCGTCAGGGACAAATGTTTACTGTTCTATATCTGGTGGGTGCTTTTGCTTCTCAAAATAGCAGCCCTTGTACATCGGGTCGCAAAGATTTGCCCCGATGTCCACATATGTTGGGCCACTCATTGCTCTTGCTGCTGTTGCTGCTGCTGCTGCGCCTGCTGCTGCTCCTGCTGCTGCTGCTCCCGCTGCACCAGCACTGTGCGGTTCCTCAGCCTCAGCTGCAGCAGGATTGGCAAGGCAGCGAAGAGCTGTGGTACTGCCGGCGTTGCTGCTGCCGTTTTTCTTGCTCCCCTTCTTGCTGCTGCGTTTGCTGCTGCCGCTGATATTGCTGCTGCCACTGCTGTTGCTGCCGTTGCTGTCGTTGCTGCTGGTGGGCTTCCAGCCCCCCCTTGGAATCTTCAAGAGCCTCTTTAGTGGATTTCTGGCGGCGCCTTTGCGGCTGCGGCGGCGCCGTGTGTCTTCAGGGAGAGTTATTTCGAAGCAGCACAGAGCACGCAGCACAAACCTTTGCTGCTGCTGCTGCTGCTGTTGATAATAGGGCTGCTTCTGCAGCAGCCCTCTAGGGGTATGGACACCGATCAACGAATCCCAGTAAGCTGCATAGACTGCAGGCGAATTGAGAGTTGCTGCTGCTGCTGCAGTTGCCGCTGCCCCTGCAGCGGTTGCTGCTGAAGATGGGCCCAACCTCCCAGCTGGGCCGCCCGCAGCGATGAAACTCCACCTCGGCCTTGGTGCTGTTCTTGCTGCTGCTGCTGTTGCTGCTTCTGAGAGAGGGGAAAGGCGAGAGCCCGCTGCACCGTAATTGCAGCAGCAGCAGCAGCACAAAAGCAAGGTCACGAACGGCCGCGACAGGACTGTAAATTTTCTGCAGGGAGCTGCATTCATGACCATTCTTATTCTGCTGCGGCCGCCGTTGATGCCTCTGCGGCTGCTGCTGCTGCTACTGCAGCCTTAGAGCTCTTGTTGCGGTGTAGGAGCAGCTAGAGCAGCTCTAAAGAGCGTAGCTGGTACCACGCACTACACAAACCCTAAACCCTAAATCGCAGTGGGCAAGATACCGAAGATACCGTCGGCGGGGCTGCTGCCTCTCCAGGGGCCCGTTTTCCCAAGCCATTGACCCTAAACCATAAAACCTACATGTTAGGCTTTGAAGAGTGAAGTGTAACCTAAATAGCACATCTTTGACGTGTTAGGACTTTAGAAGTACAAAAGCTCGAAGCCCTCTACCATAAATCCGCCGGGGAACTTGTGCCTCAGGGTCGGCTGCTCATCTAGTCATGTTCAGAGTTTAAACCCTAAAGCCTGAACGCTAAACAATGAAGTATTTACATTAATTCAATTTAGATCAAATGCATAAATATGGAATTAGCTTTTGCTCATTTTAATGTATTCACGAGGAAGGACGTGTCTGCGCAAAATTAGCAAAAGTTACTGTTTAGGGCTTACGTTTTTGAATCTGGGGCCAGTTTTTCAGCAGATCATAATTAAAAACACCAAAAGTAGAAGGGTTAGACTGAAAGGCTCTCGCGTATAGAGGCTCTGGCTACCTTGCGTACGGGGTGGCTCTGGCGTCTGCGGTTCGTGGCTTGTGGTTTATGGTTGGAATTTAGGGTTTACGTTTTCGGTTTACGGTTTTTGGTTTTAAATTTTGCGATTTTAGAGCCCAATTGTATGTTTCAAAATGCGTGTCTACACTTTTGCAGATAAAGCTTCGAACGAGGTTGCAAGAATGCTTGTCTTGGAGGTGGTTTGTTCGGAGGTGCCTGTTAACGGCAAATCTACAAATATCTGCACATGCCTATATAAGCATAGATTCGCACATGTCTAATGCAGATATGTGTAGTTATGCTTATCTCTTTTGGGGAGCTCTACGGCCTTTTGGTACCAGAAGGTGCTGCCCAAGTGGAACTTGAGAAAAACTAGAACAGTTCCGATAGAAGATACCCTACCTCCGCTGGCGCGATTTTAGGCTTAAAAAATGACAGAGTGATGTTGCCCCACAAGGAGATGACGGACTTCTGGGGAACTCAAGGCGGCAGAGTCCACATACAGAAGCAGCGTCAACAATTTTCGTTTGAAGCAACACACTCTCGGGGAATTTTGAGCACTTTCTTCGTTCAAGTTGATATTCATGGGTCAAACTCTCGGCCAGCATAATGCGCCTCCACTCTCTGGAGCCCAGTACTTATCTGGCCGCTTGCCTTCATCGAATTTCTCTCCGACTCCTCATAAAAGTCGCCTCATAGGAAATGCCGGAAAAAGGGATTTAAGCGCGTTTTCCAATAAAATTTTTTGTGGTGTTATTAGCCACTTGCCTTAACTTCATCGTGCCTATAGTGGTGAGAGAAAAGCCCGAGCTGTTCTCTCTCCAAGCCTTCTTCTGCTCCCGGTGCTATAGACAAGTCTAATCCATGCTGCACCATTTGTGGAGTTATAACCACACTCTAGCTTGCAGACATGAGAGATTTCCAGGCATCTCGCTCCATGTATCCAACTAAGAAAGTGAAAACAGATGCATCGATGACCAGGAGAGAAGGCAAACTTGTTTTCTCAAACAAATGAACTGGTGACCTCTCAGCCAGTGGGGAAGCCATCGGGTTTAAATGAACGGAGTGCTACCGCAGCGACGCTCTGGGGGCTAAATATATAGAACAACAGTCATAAGGACAAAGTTTTTATGGGCCCGCATACTCCAAAAGCTTATAACTAAACGCCCCTCTGTGCAGAGCTTCCGCCGTTACGAGCACTGGGTGTGCGTTTGCTGCAGCGCCTGCGAAGTGTGCACAGCTGGGGCGGAGTAAGCTGCTGCTAAGGGGTCAAAATACTTCGCTGCGTTCCTAAAAGTTGTCGAACAAATAGAATAGGTAGGCCAGAGCCGCATCCGTAACGCTGCAGGCAGTGACGTGTGTGCTGTGAATCGGGGAGAGTCAGTCGCGAGACGGGGAATAGCCTCTTGCGCACTTCACCAAGTTGCTATTTGGTCTTATGAGGCATAAACTTATTCATCAACATTTTATAGATGGTTCTGTAGCATCTTCTTACGACAACAGTAAAAGTATTCAGCTTCTCAAGTAGCTAAGTGCATGCTTTGTGGACCAAAATAGCCACCTGGTGAGCGAAGCAGCAGGCTTTCTGTGGTGGGCACGTCTCGCGGCCGCTGGCTCATCAATTTAACATAATTTACGAACAGCAAATATTTGCAGACAACTAGACGTGCATTTCCAGCCCCTTAATAGGCCCTTTTTGCATATCTCTATTTGTTCCGACTATTTTGGTCCCAGAGGAGCTCTAGAAAACCTTCCTTTTTTTCAAACTCAAGCATTGGCATTCTTCTGATGATAGAAGAAAGCATTGTAGATACACTCAAGCCATGCTATATTCCAGTACTTTCGCGGACACCTGCAAGATAACCCTTAGGCTACTTTGCAACGATATGGTTTAAGAAAACCCAAAGGCATATACTACATAACTTTCGACAAAAGACGGTGTACTTCTCTCGGTATATTTTTATATACGTACTCTCGTTTACGATGAAACAGAGGTATTAAATATATACATACACTTCGAACAAGGCTAAGTGAACGTCGACACACTACAGTGTACGCAAATAGCTACTCTTGTTCACATATTTGTTTGTTTGACTTACACTTCTGTGCATGCACCTTCCGTTAAGTGTTTCTACTTGTGTTTTCTCCAAAAGTGCTATCTGCGCATCCCCACAGCCCAATGTTTTGTGTTCGGCCTCTCCTGCGCGAACTACAAAGAAATGTACTGAGGACCACTGAAGACTTCAAACTCTAGACCAGGATCCTGAAGGTCATGTTTTGAAGCCAAAGGGTGAGAGAGTAGGTTTTAGAGATCCTACTTCTCCAATGAACCTAAACCCGAAGATTTCAACGCTGGCAGCTGTGAGCAGGCAAGATTTCTTTTTTACACGTGAGCCCGCGAGCTCTGAATACTGAAGGCGAATAGCCTGAGGCCCTTAACAGTTTTCAATAAAAATCAATTAGCCGAAAATAAACCAGGTATGAATATGCATAGGGCTGCTCGAACAGCGGCATGAGCCATCAAAGACTATTGCGCTCTAAACCCTAAACCCCAGAACGTTGGAACCTCTCTTTAAAAGCCTCAAGCCCAACACTTCCATATTCCAAGTTTTGGGCGGGAAAATTCCAAACCTTAAACCTCATAAAACCCTGGTGATGAAACGCTGACAGCATCACACCCTTAACCGAACTGAATCGCAAGCCGCACACGTTGAGTCTAAAACCTTAAGTCCTAAGCTCTGGGTTCCTGTTTTTGTGAGGCCTTTTTGGCTTTTTTAGGGACTTATTTGATTGGAAAATGTTTACTTTTTGCTGTTGCGTTTGTGGCTGGCTGGTCCGCTACCACCCCTTACATAGGGTCAAGGTATACCTCAACAAGTACTGAGCCTTGACAGAAAAATTTTATTGTCTAAAATTATTCTTGAATCAGTCTGCTTAATTATCTTCAAGAAGTTAAGGGTAAACTCTAAGCCCTAAACCCTAAAGTCTAAATCCTAGACCATCAAGCGGCGAGCACGGGGCTGCGCGCCCACCAGTGCAGAGCCGACGGTGAGGGTCTAGGGTTTGAGCCCATGTTCTTCAAGGTTTGGGGCCTACGGTTTAGGGTTTAGGGGTTATAGACAGCAAAATGGAAACCCTGCCTGCAGAGCCCGAGGCTCTGGTGGCCGTGGGGCCACTGGGATCAATCGATCCCGAAGGTGGGCTCGAAGTGACCCTGGCCGACAGCTCCCCGAGGCCAGTAGCAGAAGCAGCGGCAGAAACGAGTGAAATGCAAGAGCAGCAGCAAGAGCAACAGCAGCAGCAACAGCAACAGCAACAGCTGCCGACGCTGCAGCGGCTCAATCGGGAAATTCAAACCGCCAATGACTTAGCGGAGACTTCCTTTATAGAGATGGTTCCTGCTGGCGCTGCAGAGCAACAGCAGCAGCAGCCGCAACAGCAGCAAAATAGAATGCTTGAACAGAAAGGGAGCGATCCGGAGGAGTCGCCTCAAAAGGCGGAGCTGCAGGAAATGCAGCTGCAGCAGCAGCGGCAGCAGCAGCATCACCACGAGCAGCAACAGCAGCAACAGCAGCAACAGCAGAAGCAGCAACAACAGCAGCAACAACAACAGAAACAGCAACAGCTACCGCTGGAACCTCTCAAGAAGAGAGCTAAGATTCCCTTCATTGCCCACCGCAGCAGCTGCGGCAGCAATCAACTCTCAGAGTGCCCTCCAACAGTTCCTCCCCCGAGTTAGCCCTAAACTCTAAATCCTAAACCCTAAACCCTAAACCGTAAGCCCTAAACTCTAAGTCCCAAACCCTTGACCCTTAACTCCAAGCACTGTGGGTTATGAAGTGGGTCCCCGCAGGGAAGGTTGGAGGCGAAGGTCCGCCGCGCTGTACGCAGCAGAGAGCTGCGGCACGAAACGGCAACAGTCCAGCAGCGGCTGCAGCAGCAGCAGCAGCAACAGCGACAGCAACGGGACCCGCAGCAACAGAAGGAGAGACTACTCAGTGCCTCCGCGTGGCCAAGCAGCGCGTGGAGGAACTCACCACTCACCTCAGCCACCTCGTCTACCAGAAGCAGGCAAAAACCTCTAAACCCTAAACGCTAAACCCTAAACGCTGAATCCTAAACCCTTTCTCTCGCCTCTTTTTTCATATTTAGTACTCGTTCATACGAAATCAGTCTGAATTGTATCAGCTGCTGGTGCGGCTGTTGCTGTTGCTATTGCTGCCCCTAATCGTGCTGCTGCTGCTGCTGCTGCTGCTGCTGCTGCTGTATCTGGTGCAGGTTGTTTCAGAGGCCCGTTGTGCATATGATGAAGCTTGCTTGCTGCAGCAGCAGCAGCTTTTAGCCATTGAGTATGAAAGGGAAAAGGCGCTGCTGTTGCTGGAGCGGCTGCTGGACGAAAAGGAGTGGGCAATATATCTCTGATTCCGAAGGCTAAACCCTAAACCCTAAACCCCCATTTTGCCAAACAGCTACACCCTAAACCCTGAACTCTGGGGACAAGAACCCCTGCCTCTCCTCATGGCGTCTAACATTCGGTGCTAGGCTTGAAGAGCGCTGCATTTGAGGTTTTGCCGTGTACACTTTGAAACTTAGGGTTTACGATTTAGGGTTTAGGGTTTAGCGTTCACAGTTCAGAGCTGTTCAGGGCAGTGAACGACAAGGTTGTTGCGTACGAAGTTATCTGCGCGACAAAGCCCAGTGAGAAGGGCCAAACCACAAATAATTGTTTGGTAAGCAAGGTGTAAGCTTTAAACCCTAGACCGTGAACGCTAGACCCTAAACCCTAAACCCTAAACACCAAACCCTGAACATTGGCTCACACATTTCCGGTGAGCCCGTCCGGTGCTTTAAAACGCAGGACGATCTCAGCCACTGCGACAGCAGCACCACCGAGAACAACGGCAGCAGCAGCGACAGCAGCAGCAGCAGCAGCAGCAGCAGCAATGACAATAGCTGCGCTGAGGTTGAAGTGGTTGCAGTCAAGGTGATGGAGGTCTCACTGACGCCGCGCACTAAGCGGCGAAGGCTCTCGAAGGTTGCAGCTACCAAAATACAGGCAATACTCAAACCCTAAACTTTAAACCCTCAACCCTAGACCTTGGATCCTGAACCCTAGGCCTTAAGCTCTACACATTAAACCCTAAACCATAACTGCTAAATTTTCAACAGTAATCTGAGATCAGCTGCTTCTGCAGATTATGTGGGTCTGCGACGATAGCGCCGCTCTAAACTTGTAATTTAGGGTTTAGGGCTTAGGGTTTAGGGTTTAGGGTTCAGGGTTTGAGTACAGGCAAGGTGGCGGGGATACGCCGCGCGCTCCGCGCTTAAGCGCGAGCGCTGCATTGCTGCTGCTGCTGCTGCTGTTCTCAACAGCTTTGCTTCAGCAGCAACAGAACTCCAGCGCAAGATCAGAGGCTTGCTGCAGAGAAGGTCGGCGCCTTAACCCTAAACCCTAAGCCCTCAATCCCAAACCCTAAAACCCAAACCCTAGATCTAAATTCCAGACCCTTGCACGGTGGGCTCTGTTTGAGTAGGCAGTATTTGGAATATGTTCGCACGAAGCTGCTGCTACCACAAAAGCCAGCAGCAGTTGCAGCAGCCGCAGTAGCAACAACAGCAGCAGGAGCACCAGCTGCAAGCCCAACGAAGGCAGCAACAGCGAAAAAAAAATTCAAAGGGATCTCACGAGAAACGCAAACTCCTGGCTGCAACTTTGAGCAGCAGCAGCGTCAGAACGAGCAGCAGCAGCAGAGTCGGCAGCAACATGAGCAGCAGCAGGAGGAGCAGCAACAGCGGCTCTCCGTCGTGGAGCTGCCTGTGGCAGTCACTAGCAGCCGCAGCTCCGTGTGCAGCTTTCCTCACCAGCTGCAGCAGCAGCAGCAGCAGCAGCAGCAGCAGCAGTTGGGTGTTGCAGTCTTTTGCTGCGAGGGCTGCGAACAGAGGCGAATTGCTGTTTGCTGCTCTCCCTCTGATCTGCTGCCGCTTCCTGGAGTTTCTTTCGGGTGTCTGTACGCCTCAGTAACCAAAATACAAAGGGCCATTCGAAGCGCCATTATCAGGGCTAAATGGAAGGCAAACCCTAAACCCTAAACCCTAAACCCAAAACCCTAAGCCTCGAATTCTAAACTCGTTATTTGCACAGTCTTCAGCTGAATCCCTTGCTGCTCCGGAGGTTGCCTGCACAGCCACAAACCCTACACTACATTCTAAACCTCAAACCCTAAACCCTAGATGGTACCTCTAAACCCTAAACCCTGGATCCTTTGTCTCTGCGCGCAGTCAGTGCTGGCGAGGCTGCAGCACCGCAAACGCTACGCCGCGCTGCTGCAGCGAACCTCTTTGCTGTTGCAGCAGTGGCAGCAGCTGCGCCTGCTGAACCCAAAAGACGAACAAAGAATGTTGCTTATGGCTAGCCACCAGCTAGCCACGATCAAGCGCATGAAGTTAGTCCGAAGCGTCTAAACTAAACCCCAAACCCTAAACCCTAAACGCTAAACGCTAACCCCTAAGCCCTAAACCGTGAACCGTAAACCAACACCCTAAACTCTCAACCCTGAAGCTTCACCCTAAACGCTGGACCCTAAATCCTAAGCTCTGAACCTTGAACTCAAAACTCTAAACCCTAAACCCTAAACCCTAAGCCCTGACGCAAAAATCCAAATCATGAGTCCAAAGCTACACAGCGTGAAACGCCCACCGGGGCCTTAAGCTCCACGCCGAAAAATATAAACCATAAACCCTAAACCCCAGATGCTAAACCCTAAACCCCACTCTGCCAAGTGCAGCGCTGAGCTTGAATGCATTACTGCAGGTGTTTCTCCACATTAAGGTCAGCACTAGGGTTTAGGGATGAACGTTTAAGGGCTTAGAGTTGAGGCCTAGAGGTTTAGGGTTTTGGACCAGGTTTAAAGGTTAAGGCCTAGGGTTTAGCGCCAGCGCTTTGGGTTTCGGGTTCAGGGCAAGTGTTTTGAGTTCAGGGTTTGGAATTCAGGACTAGGGTTTAGGGCACAGGCTTTAGCGTTTAGGGTTTAGGGTTTACAGCAAGAGCCACTTTTTGCAGGGCTAATGCGGCGTCGCCCCGTTCGCAGCGGCAAGCAGATGCAGCAGAGCGGCTGCTGCAACGCTGCTGCCGGCGGCTGCTGCTGCAGCTGCCATTTACTTACCGGAGTCATTCCTTTACGAATTTGCTGGTGACGGAGAAGCAGCAGCAGCAGCTGCAGCAGCAGCAGCAGCTGCTGCTCAACCAGCGCAACCTTGTTGAAAGTGCACAGTCCATCTGGGTGGGGTACGGATTTCACTTTTGCTGCTGCTTCCGTTGTTGCTACTCTTGTTGCTGCTGCTGCCGTTGCTGCCGCTGCACATACTGCAGACTCTGCTTATTTTCTTTTGTGGCTGCAGCTGGTTCTGCTGCTGCTCTTGCTGCTGCTACTGCGGTTCAGGCTCAGGGCGAGCGCTGCTCCTGCGATGGCAGCAGCAGAGCCTTTCAATCCCTCCAGAGCTGCTCACGCCCCAGTTGCTGCGTTAGCAGCACCAGCAGCAGCTACAGCAGCAGCACCCGCAGCAGATGCTGCTGCAACTGCTGCAGCACCACCAACGCCTGCAGCATCTCACATTGCAGCAGCAGCAAAAGACGCCGATATCTCCTCGTCCTCCACGCTGCTCAGTAGCGCTGCACCAGGAACACCAGCAACAACAGGAGCACGCGGTGTTAGCAGCAGCAGCAGCAGTAACAACAACAGCACCAAAAGCAAAGTCCGCTTTCTTTCGTCTTCACCCCCAGCTGTTGCTCCTGCTGCTGCTGCAGCTCCAGCAGGGGCCACCGGCTTGTCAGCATTGCCAAGCGTCGGTGTGGCTTTTTTGAGCACTTTTGCAAGAGGGTCAGCTGCTGCTGCTGCTGCTGCTACTGCTGCTGCTGGCGGCGTCAAGTTCGCCTTGGACGTGTCGGTTGCTGAGGCTGCAATTGCTGCGGCTGAGGCTGCTGCTGGCACGTCTTCTGTGGAGCGCCGGGCCGCCGCCGCGCAGCAGCACCAAGTAGCAGCAGCAGACGCGCATGCAGCAGCAGCAAATACTGAACGGCAGCTGCTGCTGCTGGAACGCAGGCTCTACAAGAAGGGCACATTAGCCAAGTTGCACACAGCTGTTCGGTTCACAGCTCAAAACCGCATAAAGACTTTCTTGCAAGACGGCAGCCTCGCAGCAGCTCCGCTCCGGGCCCCTGCTGCCGCTCCTGCTGCTCCTGCTGCTGCTGCGCAGGGGACTGTGGGCGAGCAGGGGGGCTTGCTACGGTCGGCCCTGGCACCCGCCGCAGCAGCAGCAGCAGCGGCTACAGCCGCTTCAAGCATTGCAGGAGGAACGATGACAGCAATGGGGGCTGCAGCAGGCGCAGCAGCAGCAGCTGCTGCAGCCGCAGCAGCGACGGGCGCGGCGGCTGCCAGTCTCTTCCCAGAAAGTCTGGGTCTTCGTGCAGCAGCTGCAGCAGCAGCAGCTGCTGCTGCGAACAGCGAGCCAGCAACAGCTAACGGCTTTAACATTTCCGCTGCGACGCTTACAGGCGCAGGCACAGCAGCAAACACGCCAGCAGCAGCAGCAGCAGCAGCAGAGGAGTCCAAAGAGGGCCCTCGAAGGTGCCTCAGCGCCTATGGGGAGAGACAGCCGGCCCGCCTTCAGTGGATGGGGTATGGGGGGGACGAACTCAACCAGGCCATCCGGCAGTTCATGATCCTGTAAACTATAAACCCTAATCCCTAAACCCTAAACCCTGAACCCTGAGCCCGAAGGCTTGTTTTTGCTTCATTGAACACCGAATAGAGTGATGAAGAACCGTCTACTAAAGGTATGCAGCGCTGAGAAATGCAGAGAGTCCGCGCTGAGGGCCTAGAGTGACGCACAATCGCCTGCGGTTTAGGGTTTAGGGTTTAGGGTTTAGGGTTTGTGGCTGGAGGTTCGCTGCAGCAACAGAAAAAGCGGGCGCATGCTGGCGGAACCGGGCTTTCGCGGGGACAGGCAGCAGGCCTCTAAAGGAATGCAGAAAGCCGGGCTTCTTGGGAGTCCCAGGTCTCAACCCCTAGGCACCAAACCCTAAACCCTAAACCCTTTAGTCCAAACCCCAAACCCTGAGCTCTAAACAGTGGACCCTAATGCATGTGCTGCAGCAACTGAGCTAACTCAGAACAGCCCCGCAACCACAAGGTGGCTTGGCTTTCGCAGGCGTATGGCCCTCTACAATAACTACCCGTGAGCCAAGGGTTTAGGGTTTACGGTTTGGTGCTTAGGAGGTCTAGCGTGTAGTGCCAAAGGTGCAGCGCCACGTCAAATGCCTGCCTGCAGGGTTTAGGGCTTCAGCTTTAGGATTTGCTGCTGTTTTGACCTGCAGCACAAACTCATCTCCAAGATACAGCCGTCTTCAAAGCAACCCCGGCAAGGCAGCGCCCGCTCAGGGTTAAGGGTCTAGGGCTTAGGATTTAGGGTTTAGCTTAATTAGCCTCCAATTTCGACAGCAGTACACAGTCTAGGGTTTCGGGTTTAGGGTCTGTGCTGCAGCGTACGGCAGATCTCTAACCAGTCCTCGGAACGAGCAGCAAGCAGCAGGAACATCAGCAACAGGTGCAGCAGCAGCAGCAACAACAGAAGCGAAAACTGCAGCAGCAGCTGGAGCGTCACCAATGGCCAAAGACACACCTAAAGCAACGGCATGTCCTGCAGCAGCAGCTCCTGCTGCTGCACCAGCAGCTGCAACACCTCCCGTGGAGACAGCAGTAACTCAAGCAAAGCCTGAAGCAGCAAGAATAGCAGCGGAAGCCGCAGCAGCTCAGCCACAGTCGGAAGCACTGGCAGCAAGAGAAGCAGTAGCAGCGCAGCCACAGCCGGAAGCCTTGGCAGCAACAGAAGCAGCAAAAGCTCAGGGAGACTCTGAAGAAGCAGCAGCAGCTCGGGGAGAGCCTGAAGAAGCAGCAGCAGCAGCTCGGGGAGAGTCTGAAGAAGCAGCAGCAGCAGCTCAGACACAGATTGAAGCAGCAACTGCAGCAGCTCAGACACAGACTGAAGCAGCAACTGCAGCAGCACAGGCAGAGCCTGAAGGAGCAGCAACAGCAACACCAGAAGCAGCAGCAGCAGCAGCGACACTCGAACCAGCATTCTCGGCTGCGGTAGCAACTGCAGAAACACCTGCTGCACCTGCAGCACCAGCATTTGTACCAGCAGCAGCAAGTGAAGCAGTAGCAGAAGATGAAGCAGCAACAGCAGATGAAGCAGCAGCAGCATATGAAACAACAGACACAAATGAAGTGCGACAAACAAATGAAGCAGCAGCAGCGAACGACGCAGGAGCAGCACCTGAGCCACCAGCAGCACCTGAACCAGTCGCAGCAAATGAAGCAGCAGCAGCAGATGAAGCAGCAGCAGCAGATGAAGCGGCGGCAGCAGATGGAGCAGCACCAGCAGATGAAGCGACAGCAGCAAATGAAGCAGCAGGAGCAAATGATGCAGCAGCAGCAAATGAAGCAGCAACAGCAAATGAAGCAGCAACAGCAAATGAAGTAGCAGCAACAGATGAAGCGGTGGCAGCAAGTGAAGCAGCAGCAGCAGATGAAGCAGCAGCAGTGGATCAAGTGACAGCAGTGGATGAGGCAGCAGCATCAAACGAAATAGCAGCTACACCTGAACCATCAGCAGCAAACGAAGCGGAAGAAGTCCCTGAAGCAGCAGGAACATTTGAGCCAGCAGCAGCCTCACCTGGAGCAGAAGCAGCAGACGAAGCAGCAGCAGCAGCAAATGAAACAGTAGCAGCAGACGAAGCAGCAGCAACAAATGAAACAGCTGCAGCACCTGAACCAACAGCAGCACCTGAACCAAAAGTAGCAAGTGAAGCAGCAGCAAGTGATGCAGCAGAAGCACCTGAGCCAGAACCTGCAAGCGAAACGGCAGCAGCACCTGAACCAGCAGCAGCAACTGAATTGACAGCAGCAGAAGCAGGTGATGCGGCAGCACCACCTAAGCAAGCAGCAGCAGATGAAGCAGCAGCAGCACTTGCCCCACAAACAACATCAGCAGCAACAATAAACACGGCCAACTCCCTCAACGGAGAAGACGTAAGCGACCCATGCAGCCAGCAGCAAGATCTGCAACAGCAGCAGCAGGCGAACCAGCAGCAGGAGCAGCAGGAGCAGCAGGAGCAGCAGGAGCAGCAGGAGCAGCAGGAGCAGCAGGAGCAGCAGCAAGAGGAAAAGCAACAGCAGCAACAGCAACAGGAACAAAATCTGCAGCTGGAGCCGGCACTGCAGCAGGACTCCGAACTTCTGCAACAGGAGCAGCAAAAGTTGTACGGGCACCTTTGGCAGCCTGCACAGCAGCAAAAGCGGCAGCAGCAGCAAGTAGCCGCACGGAGGAGCACGTGCAGTAGCTGCACCAGTAGCAGCAGCAGCAGCAGCAGTTCTTCGCAGTTCAGCAGGCGAAGACGTACGGATGACAGCAGCACCTCCTCTTTCTTGCTGCAGCAGCAGCAGCAGAGACAGAGATGGCAGCTACAACAGCAGAGGCAGCCGCAGCAACAACAGGAACTTTTGGGCCTGCAGCAACAGCACCAGGAGCAGGACGAGCGGCAGCAAAAGCAACAGCAGCAGCAGCAACAGAAGGAAGAAGAGGAGGAGGAGCTGCAGAGGAAGATACAACTGCAGCGGAAGATGCACTTGGGAACTGAAATGACAGGAGCTGCAGCGGCAACGGCAGCAGCAGCGGCTGCAGCACAGGCAGCAGCAGCAGCAGCACTGCGGAGGGAATCGGTCCGGCAGGAGCGTCTGAATGCGCTGCACCTTATGTCTTCAACCGGTGTGGCTGCTGCTGCTGCTGCTGCTGCTACTGCTGCGTCTGCGGCCGACCTTGCTGCTTCCGTCGTTGCTGCTACATTTGCTGTCGCTAGTGCTTGAGTTGCGTAACTTGATCTTGCTGTATCTGCTGCTACATTTCCTAAAGCGGCCTTCGCTGCTGTTACTGTTTCTATTACTGCTGCGCGTATTGCTGCTGCATCTGTTGCTGCTTTATCTGCTGCTGCTGCCTGGCCACTGCTGCTGCCGCAGTTTGTGCCATCACGCCGCTACCGCTGCTGCTTACGCTGCCGCTGCTGTGATCGGTGTAGCATGGCTTGTTCCCTGCCCTGCTGCGCTGCTGCGACGGCTGCTGTTGCTGCTGCCGCTGCTGCTGCATGTAGAAGCTTCTGTTGTGTGCCTGTTCCTGCAGCAGCAGATGCAGCAACCACGCCTCTGCTGCTGCGCCGCAGCATATCCTCCCAGAGCAGCAGCAGCACTGAGTCCACCACGGAGGGAAGGAGAGGGAGCGACCGGCAGCAGCAAGGGGGGTCTGCTGCTGCGGCTTTTGCTGCTGCTGCTGTTGTTGCTGCCACTGCTGCAGCCGCTGGTGCTGCGGGCACCTTCTCCAAAAACTCGCCGCGCAGAGACCCAGCTAATGCTTACTACCAGCACTTGCCCCCCATTTCGTTTGTACAGGGAACTGCAGTTCTGCGGGCACCAGCAGCAGCAGCAGCAGCTAGGCCAGCAGGAAGAACAGAGACAGCTGCAGTGGCAGCAGATGCATCAATGGCAGCACGCATAACTGAAAAAGGCGCTGCTGCAGCTACACCCATTGCCGGAGTGTTATCACGTGCTGCAGCAGCAGCAGATGGAGCAGCAGCAGCGCCTGCTGCACCCGGTAACACGGTCCGTTTCGACGTGAAGCAACGGCAGCAGCAGCAGATCCAACTTCGGTTTTGCTGCCGAGGCAAGACTCTGCAGGAAATAGTTGCTGCTGCCTCTAATGCGCGCAGCAGCAAGGGCAACAACAACAGCAGCAGCACCACCACCAGTGGCCAGCAGCCTTCGCAGCACTCAGAACTGCACGAGGAGCTGCGTGAAGCCGCATCTGCAGCAGCACAAGCTGCAGCAGCGGCACAAGCAGCAGCAGAAGCTTACAAGACCTTAGAGCAGCATGAGCGGCAGCGAGCCAAGCAGCAGCAGCAACAGCAGCCGTCAACGCCCCGCCGCAGCAGCAGCAGCAGCTGCCCCACATGCAGTCGCAGACCAGCCAGAACGGCAGCACCTATTGAGGCGGAGCAGCAAGAGCAACAACCGCAGCACCAGCAACAGCAGCACCAGCAGCACAGACGCACTGCTGGCCGCAGCAACAGCAGCACCAACTGCGGCGGGGGCACGTGCAGCTGTGTCTACGCTATATTGCAAGCAGCACACAGCAGCAGCACCAGCATCAGCAGCAACAGCAACACTGAAGACACAAAGGCAGAGGCTGCTGCTGCTGCTGCCCTGTCTGCCGCAGCCGCAGGGCCTGCCGCTGCAGTTGCAGAGGCCTTAGTCGCTGCTGCGCCTGTCTTGGAAGCAGCAGCTGCCGCTGCAGCTGCAGCGGATGAGATGAAGCGACAGGGATAGACCGATCGCATGCAGCAGCAGCAGCAGGCACCGCAGTTGCTGCTGCCGTTTCCACCGCTGCTGCAGCAGCACAGCACTTCTTTATAAGGCTTCTGTATGTGCAGCTCTGCTGCAAGTGCACGCCGCAGCAGCAAGCAGCAGGAAGCAACGGAAGAACAACCAAGCTCTTGTAAATAAAAGCCCAAACCCTAGAGCCTACGCCCTAAACCCTAGACGCTAAACCCTAAACCCTCAGCATGCATTCAAATTATGGAAACTGAGCTCCAATTCGCTCATATTTAAGTCTGGAAGACAAAAACAGGGACTTCCAGGAACGAACCTCGAGGGGGCCTCCCTTTGGGGCCCCCAAAGCGGCCCCACGGGGACCATGAGGGGCCCCCTGAGATTTCCCATCAGCCCTTAAACGCCAGATAACGCCCCAGCTTAAAAACTGCCCCACTTGGGGGCCCCCGGCCCATGCTCAGGGGCCCCTACGGCCGGGGGCCCCTATGGCCAGGGCCCCCTGTGGCTGGGGGCCACTCCGGTGGGGTGCCCCTATGAACAGGGGCCCCCATGGCCTGGAGCCCCTAGAACTGGGGCCCCAACAGCTGAGGCCCTTCGTCCCTTGGGACCTGGGGCCCCCCAAAAACCCCTTAAGGCCGCTAAAGGGCCCCTCAGGGGCCCCAAAAAGCCCCTCAAGGCCACTGAAGGGCCCCTCAGGGCCTCCAAAAAACAACTTAAAGCCCTCAAAGGGCCCCTCAGAGCCCCCAAGAAACCCCAAAGGCCCTTGAAGGGCCCCGAGGAGCCCCCAAATGGCCTTTGCAGGGCCCCCAAGAAGCGCCTGTGCAAACCCCGTAAAGAGCTTTTGTGCAGCTCCAATTAAGCCCCAGATTGCCCCTAAGAAAGCCCTGAGGGCCCCAAAAAACGCCCCTGCAGGGCCCCCTAAAGAGCCTCTCCAGGGACCTCCAAAGGCCGCCACAGGGCCCCTAAAGGGCCCCTTGAGGGTCCCTCTACAAAGCCTACAAAGGAAGGCCTTTGGGGGGCCCCTTCATAGGAAGTGCTCCGCAGGCCCACGGGGG